TGAAGGGCAGGGCTCCTTCCTGAGGAGGCTGCCCAGCTGGAGCCACCAACTCCTGAATCACATCTGGGAGCCGGAGGCCACTTGCTCAGAATCATCATGCAGTGAGCTCATGAAACCTGAACAAACCACACTGGAGACATGTTCAGCCCCAAACCTAAAGTAAGCCACAGAGAACCCCGAGTCTGACTGTGGGCACAGCACCAGACTTAATCTTTATGGCTTGGATTCTGTCATCAGGGAAAGGTGAGTACAAAGTCTCAAAGTCTTGAAGGGCTGCCGAGAGAGGAGAACACAGGAGCTGCACGTGCGTGCAGAACACAGGGCCCACATGCGGAAGCATCCAATACACACTGTGTGTATATGTATGATAAGGAAGACCATTGGCACTGGCTCTCTTCTCACAATGGTCACATGTCCATTTGCAGGGAGTCTCTGCATTCCTCCAGGTTCTTCTATATCTGTCAGTCTTTGAAAGGCGGTCCTTCTTCACTATGTCTGCTGGTATGATGTCATGGCAGGAAACCCAGCCCTCTGTGGCTTGCTTAGTGAGTGGGGGAGAGAGAGAGGAAACTGAGCCAGTGCTGAGGACTAATGATAAGTAGGCTGACACATCTGAGACACAGCCACACTGAGTGTGTCCTGATCAGGCATTTCGCTAGGGATTTCTGGACAGCATCGATTACCATTGAGCTCCAGGAGAGTGCCGGGAGCCAAACCCAGGACATTACCTGCTGTTCTGGGAAACCTGGTCTCAGGTCCCAGGAACTTAAAGAACATCTGGCATTTCCTGGAAGCCAGTTACGACAGTGGGATTATCTAGGGCAATAAAGATATGACTGTGGGATGGTCTTGGGCAATGACCATCCAATTGTGGAATAGCCCTAAGCAATGACCCTCACCCAAACTTCCTGGTTTGGTGTGTCTTTATAACCTGCCCCCAAAATTAAAGTTTCAGAGCTTGATCAGAACCCAGACTTGCTCTAATTCTTTGTGTCTCTTGTTCTTTCCCACCCTTCCCTAGGATCTTGTCGATTCCCCTACGGGCCGAGGCAGGAGAGTAGGTTAGAGACTCGATGGTAATGACCAAGTGCCCAAAGAGGGCTGTGGAGGCTGAAAGCTGGTGTCGTAGTTAGAGTTTCCATTGCTGGGAAGAGACACCATGACTATGACAACTCTTATAAAGGATAACATTTAATTGAGGCTAGCTTACAGTGTCAGAGGTTCAGTTCCTTATCATGGCAGGAAGCATGGCAGCATCCAGGAAGACATGGTGTTGGAGAAGGAGCTGAAAGTTTTACATCTTTATCCAAAGGCAGCCAGGAGGGGAATCTCTCCCAGGCAGCTAGGGTCTCAAAGCCCATCCCCACAGTGACATGATTCCTCCAACAAGGGCACATCTCCTAACAGTACCACTCCCTGGGGCAAGTATAATCAAACCTCCACATTCAACTCCCTGACCCCCATAGGCTTTTTCAAACACATGAGTCTATCAGGGCCATACCTAGCCATCGGATAATGAAAAATACACTTAGTCCAACCTCAAAAGTCCCTATAGTTTATAACATTCTCAACAATGTTAAAAGTCCAAAGTTCAAAGTCTCCTCTGAGATTCATGTAATCTCTTAACTGTAATCCCTACAAAATCAAAATCTAAACACAGATAACATACTTCCAACACCATTCTGGAATGTCATAGTGAGGAAGTACTGGACCAAAGCAAGACAGGAAACCAGCTGGGCAAACTCCAAACTCTGTACCTCCATGTCTGATGCCAAAGTGTTCTTCAGATCTACACCTTCCTTCATCTTTGTTGACTGCAACAACTTCTTTCTCCTGGGCTGGTTCTACTCCCTGTTAGCAGCTTTCCTCAGCAGGTATCCCATGGCTCTGGCATCTCTAACATCTTAGAGTCTCCAAGGCAATTTTAATTTTACATTTTCTTGTCTCAATATCTGGGACCCACACACAGTCTTCTGAGCTTCTCAAAAGGGCTGGCGTTACTTCTCCAGTTCTGCGCTCTGTTGCACTCTAGGCTCTAGTTGACTCCACTCCACTGCTGTTGCTGTTCTTGGTTGTCATCCCATGGTACTAACATCTCCAATATGCTGGGGTCTTCTGCTGCAATTAGGTTTCACCAATAGTCTCTCATAGGCTCTCTTGATGGGGCCAAGCCTCAACTTTTTTACATGAGCCCTTCAGTCCTGGGCCATCAACTGTAGCTAAGGCTGCATCATCACCAATGGCTTTCTCTAGCCTCTCACAGTGCTAATCCTCAGCTGCTCTTCATGACCCCTTCATGCCTTCAAAACCAGTACTACTTGGGTGATTCTTACACATCACCAAGTTAGCTGTGGCACAAGGTACAACCTCGGCTAGCTCTGAAACACAGCTTCTTTATGCTCTTAGAAAACACTTCCCAGATTTCGATTTAATGATATGGTCTCTTCATAATCACCACTAATTCCTTAGCTCCAGCCAACCATTGTCCCAGTAACCCCTTCTGTTCTTAACTTTAAAGCCACATGGCTGAAGCTGCTGAGTTCTGCTGCATGCTAGGCCTGGAACATGCCTGTCTTGTTTTATTATATTATCACCAGCTATCTGTTTTCCAACTCCTTCATTGCCTAAACTTGGCTGTCTTGGAGCTTGCTCTGTAAACCATGTTGACTTTGAACTCAGAGATCTACCCGACTCTGTCTCCTGAGTTCTGTGGTTAAATTTGTATACGACCACATCTATCCCTAAGCTTTTCTTTATCTGGAACTTGCTGTGTTCCAGGTCTGCCCTGAACTCAGAGATCTGCTTGTTTTTGTCTCCTGGTATTAAAAGGTGATGATGTACCATCATGCCTGGACCTAAGCTTTTCATGGCCAGTATGCCTCAAGATCCAAATCGAAAATGCATGTCATCTCAAGTCAAGATCTGTATCAAAAGCCTCTGTCTTCCAGCCTTAAGATCTGGATTGCAGGTGTGTCCTCTATTTCTGGATTGTAGTTTATTTCAAAGTCCAAATGAAAACAATCCCTAACATGCTATAACTATCCCTTGTTCAACTGCAAATGTATACACAATAAGCTTAGTTGGGTGGGATCTTGCCTCGAGGTCAACACTTCACTAATCTGCTCATCTCTTTGAATACAGGATTTAACCCCATTGCACTTCCTGGTGCCCCTTTATTACTTGAACCATACATTTTGTATTTTTTCTTTCTAAGCTTGGTAAACTTGATCAAAATGATCTTTAAGAGGGTAAACAGAGAACAAAGTCTATTTCCTTTGTCAATGCAATTAATCTCTTTACCTTAGTCGTGGGTAAACTCTTCAGACTAGAGCAAAGAACAGCCACGTTCTTCACCAAAACGTCACAAGAATCTCTAGACCACATACTAAAATTCTTCTCTGAAACACCTAGAGCCAGAACCCCACGGTTCAAATCTCCCTCAGCATCAATGTCTTCCATAGTCCTATTAGGATTGCCCATTAAGCCCCACTGAAAGTATTCCATTGCTTTCCAAATCCACATTCCTTCAAAGAAAAACACCTTAGGTGTATCACAACAATGCCCCAGTCCCTGGTACCAACTTCTTAGTTTGTGTTTCCATTGCTGTAAAGAGACACCATGACCAAGGCAACTCTTAAAAGAGACTACATTTAAATGAGGCTGGCCTACAGTTTCAGAGGTTCAACCCATTATCATCAGGGCAGGAAGCATGGCAGCGTCCAGGCAGACATGGTGCAGGAGAATGAGCTGAGAGCTCTGCATCTTGATCCAAAGGCAGTCAGAGGGGACTCTTCCAGGCAACTATGAGGAGAGTCTCAAAGCCCACCGTCACAGTGACTCACTTCCAACAAGGCCACAGGTTCTCCAAAAAGGCCACACCTCCTAGTAGTGCCCTGGCCGTGGGCCAAGCATATTCAAACTACCACAGCCAGACTAACTCTGCCTCTGCTGAATATTGGAGAACTATTACCATACAATGTCATATGCCCAGAGAAAGAGTCTAACACATTGCTTTTGCTGTCTGTCTTCCATATATAGCAGAGCAAAAAAAAAGGAAAGAAAGGGGCGGGGCGTGGGGTGGGTTTGTTCAAGTACAGTTCTTAACAATGGTGGGATGAAAAAAGCCCCCCCCCCCAAGTCAGCAGACTCTCCCTAGGGGCCTGAGGGAGCACAAGGAGGCTACTTGAATCCCCACACATGTCACCTTCTCAATCTCGAGATCATCTCTCCCTTTGCCTCCTCAGCCTCTGGGAAGACAGAGACTCTGAGACTGCTAGAGCCAGCCAGATACCACAGTGTGTCAGAGACAACCAAACTCAAAAAGAAAAAGACCTTCCTTAGCCCAGGTGGCTGGGACACTGTCTCCCACAGTTTCCCAGCCATAGCTCGTAGCTCGTCATCTTCCATAAACTACTCTTAGAAATGCAAAGCCCTCAATCCTTGTGTGTTGGCCTCCACCCTTTCCCGGAAGGCAGGTGCTGCCAGTGCTGAGATCCTACCCCAGAAGGGAACAGACAATGCATACCCTGGATACAGGGTGTGGCCTCAGTGCCATGAGCCTCCTTGCTCTTTGCACCCTGGACAGCCATCCATCTGCCAAGGTCCTGAGCCCCACCGAGAGGAGAGGCTCTCAGACTGCCCCCCATATGCCAGGGCTGTCGCTCAGGAAGTTCCCAGGGCGTGGAGGCCCAGGCAAAGGGATTAGGATCATTAACAAAGCTGTTTTTCAATTTTTCAATTAAGGTGGACAGGAGAGACAAGGATGGAAACTAATGCCAGCTGATTGCCCCTTCTAGAGCAGAAGTCAGTCGCCCCATCTTAGCCTCCTTGGAGAGCAGGCCTCATCAGGGCTCTGGCTCTGCAGCTGGCTCTGGCTTTCGTGTCAGGGGAAAAGGAAGGAGTCAAGTCCTTGGGGCCAGGTAAAGAGCCTGGAGAGGGGGCAACTGCATCCACCTCCACCCTACTCTCCATCTTGTACTCAGGCCAGGTCCTGTGCATACCTTCTCTGCCTCATTCGGCCTGCTTTTTCCAACACCAGCGGAGGCTCTGCTCCCGTCGTCGGCAGAGGGCAAGAAAACTCCAGGCTCCCAAATCGCACATAAGTCAGTCAGTCTGTCTCAAAGCAAAACAGAAAAGAACCCCAGGGTTACTCCAGGTATGTGTGTGGGAAGACTCTGTGGTTTTTAACTTGTTAGTTCACCCAGAAAACGACATCTCCATCTCCATCCATTTGTAGTTTTGCAGAACATAAAGGCTTCTTTGTTTACCTTGCAAGATATGGACAGAGTGTAAGCAAAGTGCTTAAGCACGCTGGCGACCAGCCCGCTCACCCGTGAACTGCGTCCTAGTGTTCAGACACCACAATCAATTTGCTAATTCCCTCCTACCCTAAAGGAGTTAAGTTAGAGATGGAAGAGTCTCTCCCACACTCAAGGGAGAATTTACCCATACATGTCTCATTAATTTCTAACTTCCTTAGAAAGGCCACTGTGGTTTCTGCCCCTCCACCCCCGATATCTACAGAAAAAAAAACAATTTTGTCACAAATATCCATAGCATATTGAGAATTCTCACTTTATGGTCAGAAGTTCTAGCATGAGATATGACTGTCAACAAGAGTGAGTCTTTGTGTATGTGTTTATTTGTTTTTCCATCTGTAAAATGGGAAAAGATAGGATAGTGTAAACCAGGGAGGCCCCTGGGCCACTGGTTGCCATCTGGGAGGCTCAAGTCCTGAGAGGTCAGACTCGGCTGTGAACTTGGGAGGAGAAGCACCCTGGAGGGCAGTGAACACATCTCTGGGTGTGTCTGTGAGGGAGTTTCCAGAGAAGATTGGATCCTGAGGGCTCTCAACTGATGAATAGCATAGTTCATTGATCGATTCAAAAGCTGAACAGATGACTGGGGGGTGATGGAACTGTGGAAAGTGTGTCCTGCTTGAAGGAAGTGGGCTATGGGGTGGGGGCTGAATTCTGTTCTGGCCTCTTCCTGTAACTGCTCCGCTGTGCTTCCTGGCTGCTCTGGGTTGAGCAATTTTGCTCTACTGTGGATTATATAGGGAAGAGGCTCTGGAGGAAGAGCAGTCCAGCCCCTGGGCTGGAAAGTTCATGGTTGGGGGCAGGGTATGCCAGATAGGGACTGAGGGATGCTGGGAGAACCTGGAGGCCAGGTCTACCTTGCTATGTAAAATATGCACCTCAGTTCCTCGTCCTGGTCTGAAACCAAACACAGTTATTTTGAGCAAACATCTAACTTTTCTTAATACAGATAATAAATACATCTCACCTAAAACCTGCCTGGCATTACGGTAAATCTGCAGGACCGGTAACCACTAGCATAGTGTGGAGAATGAGCTGTAGCTGCCCAGAGTACCAAGGATGCAGTTGCTCTCTGACTTAGCAATCTTAGTTTTATGAATCTACTCAAAATATGCCCTTATGTGCCTGTTGTGACTTCCAGGGTCAAGGAAAGAAAGGTGACAGGAAAAAAAGCAAGAGCTGTGATTTGAAGACAGACAGACAGACAGATAAACAGACACTCATTATAGGGGAATAAGATTAAACCCACCATCCACACTTTTATCAAGCATGGGGCTTTGAGTCTATATAAGAAGTGAGCCCGAATTCAGGGAACAGGCTCGCCATCTGACCCAGGGACAAGAGGCTCCCAGGAAGGACACCTGACACCCAAGGTGCAGGGACCACACAGACACCTGATAGTGTGTGGCCAGCAAGAGGAGCAGCTGTGATCCCAGAAGGATGGGAGCAAAATGAGTTGGCTGTGTGTTCTAAGCATCACCTCAGATTCTGGAAGGTCGCAGTAGCCTGTAGTAGTTAGTACACACTGCTCCATAGGAAGCCTGGGCTGGGGAAGTGTTGAGGTTTGGTCTCTTGCTATGTATTGTAATTCTAAATTCTGTACCAGAAGGCCTAGGTCCAGGAGAGAATACTCACTGGTTACCAGCTTTTGTTGTGCAAATGTTGTTCAGGGATTTAAAATTATTGGTAAAATAAAAATGGCTACAGCCAATGACTGGAGGGATTAGAGGTGGGTGGGTTTTGAGTTACCTAGTTAATGGTGGAGAAGAGAGGAAGGATGAGGAGGAGAAAAGGAGGAAGGGCCATGAGAGGGGATATACTTTGAGAGCAAGGCCAGGAAAAACAGTAAGTATCTGGGGAAGATGGTGGGGAGGTAGCCAAGCCAGCAGTTAGAAAAGCAGATTAGGGGTGACCCACACACACACATTAACTATTAAGCCAAATAAAATAACCATAGTCTGAATCTTATTTATTTGTAAGCCAGTTGGGATACGTTTGAATTGGTCGTACCACAGGGGAGGGTGCAGAAGGCAGCGCAGATGCTCCCAGGAGCAGGAGGACCAGGCGTGTCAGATGATGATGAAGGAAGGGGTTCCTCATCTCTCTTCAGCAAGTGTTTATTGTGTCCTGACTGCCTTTCCCTCTGTCACAGAAGAAATGCTGGCACAAAAGAGTCTCTAGACCCCCCAGGAATTCTACAGTGCCATAAAAGCTCACTTACTGGATGAGCAAACCCCTAACTTTCACGGCTTATTATTCTTGCTCATCCTCTCTCTGGATACACAGTCCATGCTCAGCAAACCAAGACCGTTGCAGCTCTTTCCTTCCCTTCCAGAGACTTACTATTTGAGTAGCTAATCCCACACATTCAGATTCAAAAGAATACATTGTAAAAATAGATGTCATTAGTAAATGTCCCTGTGAGCCTGCCTCCATCCCACTTCCTAAGTCCCACTCACTCAGGTGTGTCTGGCCTACCTCTGTCACCAGAGTCCCTGTGCTCTTCCAGAGGGAGTCCATGCACACACAGACAGAGACGAGAACACAACAGCGGGCTACAGTAGCTCACACTTTCAATCTCAGCATTCAGGAGGTGGAGGAAAGAAACCACAATTTAAAGCTAGCCTAAGCTACACAGTGAGTTTGAGTCCCACTTTGGGCTGGCTAAACAGTGAGGGTTTGTCTCAAAAAATGAATACTGGGACTGGGGATATTGCTCAGCATTTAAGAGCACTGCAGAGGACCTGGGTTCGGCTCCCAGCACCCGCATTGCCCTTAGCTCTAATTCCAGGTAATCTAGCACCTTCTTCTGGCACGCTCCGGCACTTGGTACACATACACACCTGCAGGCAAAAGTCCATACATAAATCAAAATAATAATTTTTTAAAAAATAAAATAAATGTTACTCATGTTTTCCCTACCTTGCTCCCCAACCCCAGTTAATAACTACTCTGGATATCATCCTGTATTAGTTCAATAAAGCTGCCACATTAACAGAACCCTAGTGGTACAAGATGTGCATGTATAACGTGCTTACCCTGTTCTTTCTTGAGGGACAGTTGGGTGGCTTATAATCATTTGACATGGAAAACGGCTTTGACATTTGTCTTTGGGTAAATACAAACTTTGCAAGGCTGTGTTTAGGATCAGTTCATTGAAGCAATGCTTTTACTGTTTATTATTGCATCTCTGTGTGTGCATGGTATGTGCAGGTGTGCGTGTGCACACATGTGCCGTTGTCGTTGTGTGGAGCTCAGAGGACACATCTACCATGGACCCTAGGATCAAACTCAAGCACTAAGCTTTTGCAGCTTCACCCACTGAGCCATCTCACCTGTTCTTTGGAATCAATTTGTAAATGCTGACTTTTGAATGGTAGAGGGCTTGGCTGACTTAATCCATGAAGCACATGGACCTTTGCTCTTCCACAGTAGCCTCAAGGCCGGGCTCCTGATTCTGACAGCTTTAGTCCTTTCTGTAGGTCTGGTGCACAGAACTTGGTATCTCTTCCATGGTTTTCTTCCCATTATGAGATGGGTTGCACACCTTCATTTCCGTTAAACTGTTCCTGTTCTGTTTGCTCTCACAGGTTTGAAGGAATCTCACTGTGAAAATGACCTCTTTGTAGGGGAAATACGGATCACTATATCATGCCATGTTTGGGTGTAAAAACATCTTCCTAGCTCAATGGATCTTTTATTTTGTTGCCATTTTGTGTCATACCCGGGCCTTCTTTTTTCCAAAAGCTATCTTTAAACAGTTCCATGTTTTCACTAATATTTTGATCCTGTCATTTTCTGTGATTAATCTTTTATCTACCTGAAACTTCCTTTTAACTTATGTGAGGGAAGAATCTAATGCTATCAAGTCTGTTTTCCCCTTATTAGTTACTGGAGAGTTCACCTTTTACCTTCCGGTTTAAATATTGACTTGGAGTTGGTGAAGGCAGCTCAGTGAGTGAAGGTGTTTGCCGTGCCAGTATGAGAAACTGAAGTCAGATCCCTGGAACCTATGTAAAGCTGGGCCTGGTAGCATATACCTATCAACCCAGCCCTCTTAGGGATCGATAGGAGGAAAAGACAGAAGAATCATTGACAGACATGGGCCAGCTAGCCTAGGGTACACAGGAGTGAACGAGAGACCCTGACTCAAACAAGGTGGGAGATGAGGATCAACCTGAGGCTATCCTCTGACCTTGTATGTGCCATGGCATGTGCCTACCCATACTCATACACTCAAATACACACGCACACGCACGCACACGCGCACACACAGTCACACATGTATCTCACACATACACACACAGGTAAAACGGAAGCAACAGATAAACAGAATATTGTCTTTAAAACCTCAAGGGAGAGAAGACTGTAGTACATATATGTCAACAAAGTTGAGGGGCAGAACACGGGGTTGGGGTGGGGAGAGATGAAAAGAGGTCAGCAGGGATGGGGAGAAAAGGAGATGCAGGAAAGGTGAACCAAAATTAAGGACATAGGGAAAAGCCATTTGGAAATCTGCCATTGTAAAGCCAATGAAAAACTAGAATTCTTTTTAAAAAGGAACTTGATGAGGCACCCTGCGGAGGTGGACACTGTAGCCTCCGTAAGCCACAGGTTAGTAAACAGAAACTCAACGCCAGCTGTAAGACTCCTTCCTATAAGTCATTTTCCAAGGAGGGGCAGAGACCCCCAAACAACACAGGCTATTTCAATCACTCTTGGTTACCCACAAGGACTAAATGGTAAGACCCTCTGCCTGAAGACATTC